CGTCCCCTCAGCAGTGGTTTTGGTCACCAGGTCTTGTCTCTGGTGGTGGTGAAAAATTCTGAGGTGAAACAACAGTGTCTTATTGTGCAGGGTCTGGGTTAGTGTTTCTGTGGCTGCACACTTACAGACTGACAGATGGCCAGGGGGATTTAAAAAAATCTTTAATTATTGATGTTTGTAGTGAAACTATCAATGTGGTCTGAAATGGTCTAACTACACTGTGATCAATGGAGTTGGTACAGTCTGCCTTTCCTGAGGGACTGCTGTGGGCGTCACGGATTGTGTGCTGTCAGCCTGGGGTCACAACCCGTGTGTGAGGTGCACAAGGACTCCCCAGTAACTGAGATCAGCAGCACTCTGGTGTGGTGCAGAATGGCATTTCTCCTCCTGGCTTATGAAGCTGCTGATCCACTTCTGGTCAGCTCTGCACCAAGCTGAGATCTGCCAACGTGCTCTCAGTTGCCAAAATGAGTTTCTGGAGTGAGTGATCCTGGAAAAAGGAATCTGCAAGAAGACAAAAGGAAGCTGACTTTATTCAGTGTTTTATGATTCTGTTTATTTTTATATCCTGTGTATAAAAGCTAAGGGGAAAAAAAAGCTAAGATAAAAAGGATAAGAAAGAGCTCTAAATTGTTGAATAAAATCCTGTCTTCCTTTTCTTTGCTCCTGGGTTGGTCAGTAAGGGTAGAGAAATAATCATCTCTGTTTGTGACTGTGTGTTTCAACAGAGTGAGGAGGCTGAGATCTGTAAAAAAACGGTGAGAGACAGTGTATAATTTAAATATCAGTTTGAAATGTCTGTCTCCTAATTATGGTGAGTTTGATTTTTTTTCTTTCTGTTTTTTTTCTCCAGACCTTTACAGCTTGCCTTTTAAGGCATTCACAATCTTTGGACATGGGGTGAAATGAATAATAGCCTGTATTGTTTTTTTTAAAATAAGGAGATACAGTAGCGTGAAGCAGGGAACAGCAAACTTAAATTTTCCATTATGTTTTCACTCCTGGAGAGAGTGCTTGGAAATGACTACTGCTATTGGAATGTCAGTGAGTTTCTGAATATTAACAGTCTGTTCTTGTGTTTCTTTTAAGGCTGATAAATGCTTTCATTTACATTTTTTTCTCCTGCTGTATTCTCTATTCTCTTAGGAAGTGATCACATTAAATAGGACTTCAAAACAAAGTGTCAGAAGAAATAGATTAGTTGTCTGTCTGTCTGTACATGATTACCAAATGAACTGTACATTAAAATGGTGGAGCAATGGGGCATGCAAATAAAAAAAAATCATTTTTAAGGGATCTGTGAGATTTAGAAAGCCAATTACTGTTCTGCCAATGGAGAATTTTTCACTAAACATGTCCTAGTAAGTTTAAATGCCTATTAATTAATGTTTAACTGTTTCTTAATGGCAGTGAAGTCTAGTGACAGTATGACTTCCACATGAAAATTAGTCTGACGTTGGCTCTGTGGAACGGGGAGATACATCGCTGTTAATATGGTAGCCCATTTATTACCCTGGTGTCTTAATTCAGCTGCATTCAGGGGCAGTGAATTGAGAAGATCATAATCAGTTTGGGTAGGAATATAAATTAGAGGAATGTCACTGCAGTGGCTGTGCCCCAGTCTGAAGGCTGAGGGAGCTGTGTGACAGTGCTGACCCTGCTGTTCCCAGCCATGACCTGCTGGGAGCAGATCCTGGCCCTGGGCTATGGAGATGCTATTGTTGGTGAGGGCTACATGAGGCACCCGGAACACCTTCCACTGAAATGTCTCTTACAGTTCTACTTGGAGCAAAACTGTGGTAGATTTTTCTCCATCCAACCCATCTTTGTTGCAGTCAAGGTTTCCAGTGAACCACTAAGTGCGCTTAATGCTTCAGATCTTACCACAGACCTAAATTCCTGTCTTTGTCCCAGTCCAACCTGTCCACACCTTTCCAAACAAAATCTCTGTTGCTGATAAAGGGTAGCTTTGTCTCAGAGAGGCTGGAGTAGCATCAACAGGGATGGGGGCACAGAGCTGCAACATTCTCATCTACCACCTGGATTCAAATAGACCATCTTGCCCTGGGGCTACAGGAGCAAACAAAACCCCAAAGCTGACCTCCAGCAACCACATGTAAGGCATAGGATGCAAACTTAAAGGGCCATGCAGTGTACTCAGATGTATGCAAAGATGGTATGGCCTATGACTGTGAGTTGACTTTTTCAGTGCTGCAGTAATTTATAGGACAGTCTCTGCCCTCTGTATGATTCAGGAAGGAATTTGGTCAGTACAGTGTTTTAAAAATAAATGTGAGATAATCTGGGCTGTAGGTTGAAGTTTTTTCTTGCCTCAGGTATTTCAACTTATAAAGTCTAGCATTGTTATTTCAGAGGTACTGATGATCTGGCATTTTGGCCCAGTCAGAATGATTTTTTACTCCTGACCTGACATCTGTAATTTCCAGTTATTTTTCTTTCTAAGCTGATGAGTTATGAGAAGGACCAAAAAGAACCAAACTCTTGATCTCCTCTGGTGTGGTTAGAGGCAGAGTACTAAAACCTCCAAATAATGATCTGCTTGCAAAATCCTATCCTGTTCTGCCTTAACCTTGGAATTCCTCTAAAGTTGAGGATCTTGAAGGAAATTTTGCTCCCATGAACTGCTGTCCCTGTAGCCATCACTGAACCCATTCCCTCTTGTCCATGGGAACAAAGCATCACCACTGTCCTTTAGCAACAGGTCCCGTGCCATGGACGCACAGGCACAGGCACAGGACTGGAGCAGGAGCCACGTCAGGAGGGAAGACTTGCAAATGCCTGCGTTCATTCTGCCAGGAAGTCTCTGAAGATTTCAAGATAATGCAGAGTTATAAACAACTTTCTCATCCTTGGCTTGGAGCTGGAGCAAGTGTGAAGGCTAGTCTTCCAGGCACCACCCTGCTCCTCTATCCACAGACAGTTTTGAACCAAAGGCTCTGAAACCCTTGAAGGGGTGTGCAGGTTTTCAGGGAGGGGTGTGTGTGTCTCAGTGCTGTGCCTGCACATTCCTCATGGTCTTTTTCTTTTGCTGTCCCTTTGGTTTCTGAGTGCTGTAGTTAGAGTTTCCTAATATGGCATTAATGACTTGCAATTTGAGAAGTAAGGCCTGGATTTGGTGTGGAACTTTGTCCCTTAGCAGAAACTAGGACCATATTTCATGTTTCCAGGCTTGATTCTGGTCTCTTCTCCATTTCTCTGCCGTACTCAGTTCCTGTACTATGAAGAGGAAACCCAACACCAAGAGCTTCAGTGAGTGATCTTGCTACCATTTCCCCCCCCCCCCCCCGTTTAGAAAGGTACCTGGTAACTTCATCTGTACATCAGCTCTCAAAAATAGTCAACAATAAGATTTATTTGAGGTTTACTCTACTTTTTTCATGTTGGCCCTGATTGTTAAATAGCAGAGCAAGAATGACTACCTCTGTATAAAATTAAAAAAGACTGCAAAAGATGAATAGTTCATGTAAATGATTGTAGAATTGTATTGAGCACCTTTGCTTCAAAGTACTGTGCATGGATGCTTGAAATATGACTAATCATTAATTCAGTGAAAGAGAAAGTTGAGGATTTCAGTATTACTAGTGTATTGTTCTGGAAAAGATGTTCAGAAGATGAAGCTTAACAGTCTGTGAAATCTTTTTTTTCTTTTAACTTTTAGAAAGGTTGCCCTTAAACTGTTACTTCTGAGAGAGGCAAAATGGTTTAGATTGAATTAAAATGCACCTGATTTTTCCCTCCAAACATGAAATAAACACAATTTAGCTTTTTCCTTGCTGTTATATTTCCCCCCTCTCATTCTAGTATGCGTATTAGCCTTGGTCTCATGTGAGATATTTCTTTAGTTTGAATAATTTACCTTTATTCAGTATTGCCAAAGAGAAGATGTTGAGAATTCAAAAGCCAGTTCTGAGTGACTTTAATAGGCTCTACAATTTGAAATTTTAAGTAAAATGAATAGTAACTTTGTGTTCCCTGCCAGTTTACTCGTGCTACTTCAGAGTGTGTTTCTTCTGGCATGTGCAGGTTCTACACATGTACGTTCTTGAAAAAGCTCAAATCCTTGTGCACTCTCTTAACTCCAGTACTGGGGCTTTACCATGGACTTCATTATACCAAAGATTCTCTTTAAGTCATGAAAGTTTACAATGCTGTCAATAGTTTACAAAATATACTGACTATCTGGGTCTACATACATGTGAGAAGTGTGTTCTCATTAGAAAACCGCAGTTTGTCTTGTTCTGGAAAATGAAAACAAAAATTACACAAAGAAGGGAGAGAAAGTATTTGTTTTCAAATACGGGGAGACAGAGTGTTTGGGAAGAAACAATTTGTTTAAGTGTTTCTTGGCACAGATCTCTCACGTTTCGATAGTTGGGAAAGAGAAGTAATGGGCACATTCTAATCCAGATACTTTGGGCTTTCTTTTGTAAGGCAGAATAATGAGCGTAATCCTGTAACTCATTGACTAAAATGAGAGAGTGTCTCCTTTGTTCTGCCTGAACTGTCCTGTGCATTGATATCTCTGGAGAAGGGAATACTAAAGGGTGGTTGGATCTTATGAGGAAGTTGCAATAAGGATCAGTGACTGGGCCCTGCAGTCAAATTCAGAGAAGAAATCGTACAAGTGTGTTAGAGTCTGTTCCCAGCAGTGCAGCTGGACTGAGCCCTGGGACAAAGCAGCACTGGGTTGGAGGCATAGCTGCTCTATGCACTGGGGCCCAGTTGCCTTTCCATGAGCTGAAGCACAAGTGGTGAGCTCTGCACAAGGCACCCACTTGCCTTGGCACAAAAGCAGTGGGTACAGGTGTGGGTGTGAGCTCACTGTCTGTGGGGTGTGACTGCCCTCAGCCAGAAGCCTTGGGCTGCTCTCAGCTGCTCAGCCTCAACACCCAGGAGTGGGCTGAAAATAACTGTGAGATGTGCCCACCAGTTCAGAAAGAAAGGCAAAATTTTTGGAAATCTCATGTAGTGGGATTATATCTTGCCATTTAAGGCATATTATTCTGTGCAGATAAAATTAAGTTTTTCTTTAACCCTGTCATGGACTGCATTAATATCACAAGTATGCTGGAGCTGAGCATGAGGGTATCCATCCAGCTGTACTGTAAAACCATTGCTGCAGTACTCCTGGAAATGGTAAGTCTCTGGTATTTTGTCAGTCCTTATTAACAAATACCAGAATGGAAATTGATGATCAGTCTTAATAAAAGAAATGATTGTGCAATTTACATCAAGGCAGTTTTAATAAAATATCTACTCCTTAAATGTGTGTAATTAGATTTACATATTCACATCACTGCAATTAGAAATTGGTATTTAAAGGGCATGCTTCCCGTTTCATGTGCTTTTAATCACTCTTCTCAAGTTTGCTTTTTCAAATTGCAGTGTTAAGGTAAACACAGTCGTTTGTTTTTTCCCCCCTAGGCATGTAATATTTTTTCCTCTGGAATGAAATTTATATATTTGGTTTGGCTTGTGCTAATCTGCAAAACAGATAAATAAATAAAGAGGTAATCCCATTCATCACTGAAGACTTTCAAACCTTTTAAGAAGTGTGGTGGTAAACAATTTTTTTTCCAGTGTTGAAATGTTCTGGTAACAGTAACCCTCTGAATACAGCTTAAGCTTCCTCTCTTCCCAGACATGTCTTTGCTCCCTAAACCAAAGACTTTACTAATCTCACTAAGAGATAAAGATCATGGATTGCAAACTGCCTGATCAGCTTCTGACCCTGCACAGGCTTCCCTAGCCCTTTGGCCAAACTGACAGGAGTGTTTCCATGAAAGGCACTTCCAAAGTCAGTGGGGATTGCTGCAAAGATCCGAGGGAAGCGTGCCTGTGGTTCTGCTCACGCCACAGCCCTGCAGTGGAAGGTGCAGTTGCCATCCCTCCGACACAGTGAGCTGGGCTGGGAGCACTGTCACAGCAGCCTTGGCCTGGCCTTGGGGCACAAACCATGGCTTGGAAGGAGGGTTCCTCTGAGCAGGCAACTGCCTCCAACTGTGTCTCAGCCTTCTGCCAGGAGACTGAACGCCCCCTGCCCTTGGTGTGTCACACTTCCCTCTGCCTCCCAGAACACTGTTTTTTCCCAAAGGCACCACAAACCCTACACTGTTGTCTTCCTTCAGGAATGGATCTGCAGTGCTGCCGGTGCTGAATGGTAACTGCATGTGGGAGAAGTTCGTTTTGCACTTGAAGTAGCCTGTATTCGTAGGTTGTCTTATGAGGGTTGCTGCTTCAGAACCCTGAACTTTTCTGGATTATGTGAAGACTTAACATTATACAGAGACAAAAAAAAAAAAAAAAAAAAGGTTAGCTAGTGACTAGGATGACATTAATAATTCAGCACATTGAAATGAAAGATGAAAATCAGACAGGCAATAAGTTAATGCTTATGTTCTGCTGACCCTGCATGTTTCAGTTTGAAATGCTTTCTCATCCACTGGCAAAAATGCTAATGGCTGGAGTAACCCTGTGGTCCAGCTGCCCTTCTTTCTACTGGCATATGACAGTAGAAATAAACTACATTTTCACTTTTAATTTTTCTTTTTCATTCTAGTCCTCCCTTCTGATATCCTGAGTTAACCTCTCATTCCCTGTGTTTAAAAGGATGTTGGCTTTTTTTTTTTGGCTATTTTCCTCTCTTTCTTTTTTCCTTTTTCTTTCTTTTCCTATCCATTTTTCTTTTTTTCTTCCTCTCTTGGTTTGTCTTTCATTTTTTCCTATTTTTCCCTTTTTTATTTTCTCTTATCTTTTTACCTGTTTCCATTTTTATTTCTTATTTTTCCCTTTTGTCCTTTCCTCTTTTTTATCTTTTTACTTTTTTTACTTTTTTTTTTTTTCCCTTATCCCTTTATCCTCTCTGGTAAGTGGTGCACAGTCTTTGGCCAGCTGGGGACCAGGTAATCTATTGTAGAGACACTGAAAGGTTCTTCTGCATCCTGGCATGTGTCTGGAATCACAGCCTGTGGATGGAGAACAGGAGGCTGAAGCAGCTCCAGAGTTCTGCTGGTGAGCTGGGTCCTGCAGAGGGCTGTAGGTGGGTTACAGGCACCCTACAGACCCTGGCTCAGGGCTCTGCTCTCAGTTCTTGGTATGGGTAACGGTTTTTCTTTTATGGACCTGAGGGCAGGTTGAAGCAATGCAGATCCCACTTCTCCCATGCCAGACCTGTAGCAACAGTCATAAATTCTGTAGTTAAAATTATCCAGAACTCTTGGTTTCATCTCTGTCTGTGCATGTAAAGCTAAGCAGAGACAGCGATTCAGATTAAATTCTTTGTTCTATTGTCACATACTCAGCTAGGGAATCACCTTTTTCTCTTTTGACATCTTGTTTTACTGCTTTGTACAGAGTGAGAAGCAATTTGGTGACTTTGCAGTCACTAAAGAAATGATGACTGCAGGAACGTGAGAGAACGAGTTTAGGAAGAACTAACACTGCTCGGGGAAACTATGATGGCCCTTAATTGCATTTATCTGTAGTGGCAGATAACAGACTGTCCTTTAGCATCTTTTATGGTTCTCAGTGCTCCTGCAACCCCAGCCTTATGCCCATGACCATTTTGGAAATGACCATTTCCCTGCCAGAAAGGAAGGGAGCGCTGCTGATTTGGATGTAGAGGGAACTACTCTGATTTATTCCATCCCACATACGCTGCTTAAATGCACCAGAATCTGTGATGTTTTTCCAACATTGCCTTGGCAAAAGGGAAAGGTGAGGACTTGTGGCTTTTGGACACGTGGTTGCAAAGCTCCACAGGTCAGAGTGTTTGTCAGGGTAGGGGTGGTGGGGAGAAAGAGGGCAGTGTGGTCTAAGCTGCAGCTTACAACACCTTCATAAAATGGTCTTCTCTGGGGGACAGCTTGCCTGTCACTCCTTGGAGAACATGAGGATGAGTTACTTCCTCCCAAACTGAGCATCTGCAGTTTTTCTTCCGTGGCTTTGTCCCTTTTGTCTTATAAGCAGTGAAGAGAAAACAGATTTCATAATTGACTGAGCACCAGTTTTTGCTTTAGTTTGAGTATAATTTCCCAGTGCACACTGATACCACGTGCTTAGTTTTTCATACATGCTCAGTTCTGAATACAATATTCTGAAGAACTGACTAACATCAAAGATGTTTCCAAAATCAATATTTGTATAACATACCAGTGGAATTTTGCTGAAATGATGCTGGCTTGTATGGCTTTGGATATGCACAGTTTAGAATCACCAAATAGCATGCAAGATGAATAATTGCAACTGAAAACTAAACATGCTGTGGGAGACGTTATATTTAATAGAAATGTGACTATTTCAACATCACTATTATACTGCAAATGTCTGAAGTAAAACGAGAAGAAAGTGATCAATGACAAGTTACTGGTAAATCCAGCATCACATTCCATAGATTACCTTTCTTGAATTGGACAACATATGAGTCTCATCAGATAAAGCACAATGAATTTGATGTGCCCTAATTCAAATCGTAACGAACTTCATTCTACATCACAGTGATATGAAAAGATACCCTTGGCAGCCTTCTGTTTACAACAGGTTTCCACAGAGGAACAAGCAGAGCACAAACACTAACTAAGCAGCTGGCTCTTCCACTACCGAGAAATAACTGCACACTTCTGGAGCAGTAAACTAGCAAGGAGTTAACACTGGCACCTTAACTTATTTGTAACCACTGAGGATGTAGCTATCTAATTTATTCCCATGGATTTTGGTTATTGCAAAGCATCTTTTACATGTAGTTTTACCTGACTGTTTTTGCTGCTAATGGGGAAGGTCTCTGTTCCCTATTCCTCGCCACTGGCTTGGTGTCAGAGTGATAAGGACCTTGGAAGTGGTTATCACCACTTTAGAGGAATGTGAAAATGCAAAGACAGGAGATATCAATCATCATCACAAGTCAAATTCATTAAAGAGGAAGAACTGTTTTAAATAAAGACTTTCATGCCAAAAGGGCGATAACAGGTAAAAGCGTTCATGTAATTTATTCAGAGAATTTTGTGATAACTGTCAAGATATTCAACAGCTTTCTCTCATTATCATTTGCTTCATGTACCTTGACTTGGCAAAGCCTTTAGTAAGATATTTAATCAGAAGTATGCAAATGGTCCTGCTAACTTCAACAGGAAATCAGCACTTAGGAATAGCAAATCTTAAATATTGTCTTAAATGTTGAGACATATTGGTACTATGATGAGTTATGCAGTCTTCTTTTTTTTTTTTTTCTGCAGCGTAGAGAATTTTTCTGCAAGTTTTCAAATATTCCCTTAGCAGGGCTGTGCAAATCATTCCACAGAAGCTGCTGCTGGGTGACCTGAACAAAAAATGTTTCTGCTTCCATATTAAAACATAAATCCTAGGAAGTTAGCAAAGATTTTTTTGTTTGAATGAAACTTTTCATTCCCCACTAAATTTTTTTTTTTTTTTTAATGGAATATGCTGAACCTGGTCCCAAAATAACACTTTAAATTAAAAATTGAAGCACTTAGAAAATATCATACTGTATGTTTTTTGTGACATACCTATTGCACAATATAAGTTTCAGAGGTTTTGGTTTTTCCAAGCTGCCTTCCACAGAGAATGAACTATTTATGAGGAAAAAGAATTTGGCTTTCCGTGCTTTTCCATTATTTTGTTAATGGAGCTGGTCAAATATTGCAAATACTTAGCAAATGCCTTTGTTTCCTATCCATCCTGATGGAAAAGGGCTTTTCTTTAAGTAGGAGCATACAAGATAGACACCCTAACCCTGGTCATATGTACTGAGAGTAATTTGTGACTCGAACTGTGTTTTGACTTTCCGTAAATTGAAGACTTGGCAAAAGAGACTAAAGGCTTACATTCAAATAGCCTATTTTCTACCTCAGTTTTTGGACATCTGTGACTGGCCATAGACCTTCAGAAATGTTTATCAGGAAAAATATTCTACAATGGAATTTAGGGGAAACTTAGACAACCTGAAGGTGGGCTTAAAGTGTCTTTACCTCCGTATTGGAAGCAGTTACCTACAACACATGTAGTGAAACAACTTGCCCAAAGTCACACCATAAGAGACGTGGAGAAGTGAAGAGCAGAAGCTGTTGTCCACGCTCCTCCCTGTTTACCCTGTGCAGAGCTTTCCCTGGATTTGTTGCAGCTTGCTGGGGAAATACAATCAGTTCTCTGGGTTTGCTTGTGCCTGTTCCTTTGTCTTTAGCAGAGTGCAGCATGTGAGCCTGCAGATCTGCAAGTGCTTCAATCTGTTCCATTTCAGATATCCCAGTGATCATGTTTTTGATTGTGGAACTGTGGCAATATTCTGAAATCACATGTGTGCCTTGTCTTTCATTATATCCATTAGGTTCAGGATGCCTAGAGACAAATGATATGGAAAAAGGCCTCCATGACAGGTCCCTACTGGCACTGACTGTACAAGCAGGAGGACACCTAGGCAGAAGGTAAGAAAAGCCTCTTTTAATTTTTTAACTTCAGTGATGTAAAGCCTAATGAGGTGATTTTAATTTATTTGGCTACCAGCAATGGTATTTAAATGAAGCACATAATTTGTTAAATACTAACAAATATGCTTGAGGCTGTAAAGTTAATGTAATTTTTTGCTTCACTGGGAGCCTTGGAGGCGTTTGATTTCCCTTTGCCCAAACTTCAACTTCATCTGTAAGCAGACCATACCAGCAGGTTTGATCAAGCATTTGTCTTTGTCATGTTTTAAAATATGGCATTTTAATTTCTTCTTTAGCCCACTGGACCCTTCCAAAGCCCTTGCTGCCTGTCCATCTGCCATTTCCAATGTTGGTCTGTGCAGGAACACCGAGTGAGCCGTTCTGTCTGCTCCGCTCTTGTTCCATTGCACGTGTTGTCCTTGTGTATAATTCTGCTGCTTGATTCGTTTCTCACATGGGGTTCAGTTCCTGACAACTTTAAAAACCTCCTCTAATCATTTTGGCAAACAGAAAGCTACAGATTTTAGGTCCTCACCACAGTTTTCATGGTGAGTACTTATATGCATCCTGATCTATAAATTTTCCACCTCCTTTCTCAGGCTTGACCCTGTAATTTGTGGGACAGAGCAGCAGCATGGAGTCCTCTGGAAGTATCACAAGCTAAATGCACACACCATGTCATGCTTACAGCCTTGCTCATGGAAGAGCATGGCATGGGTGAATACATGAATGTGTATTTATGTGTAATTTATTGTTTCAGTGTATTTCACAAAGGTTGTGTGGTTATTTTAGTGGGGGGGTAGGAAAGGGAGTATTTTTGGTTATTTTCCAGACAGAATGATGAGTGAAGCTCCAGAGAACTATTTTAACCATAGGATACACATAAAACTGGATTAGGAGGTACTTTGAGTGATAGGTGGTCTTTTTGTTTGTTTGTTTTTTTAGTGAAAATTCTTTCATTGTTAAACCACATAAATATTGGGAACTTTATAATGACTGTAGTTGCAGAGATTTTGATGGACATTTTAATATCAAAGTAAATTGCTATTAGAAGGAAAACTTAAAATGCTTTCTAGCTATAGAATGCTTATATGAAGGTGCATTTGGGGAGATACTGGGAATGGTCATTGCACAGCAAGACCAGTCTTAAAAGAAGAAAGAAATCTTGATTGTAATAACTCTGTTCAGTAACAGTAAAAAGACAACACTAAAAACTTTCAATTAATATACAGAGTTAATAGAATGTTCATGCGGGAACATTTTGCCAGGAAAAAAGGAAATATTCTTTTATTTCAGATAGGGGGAGGAAAAGCACTACTTGACTCGCAAATCTTCTGGAAGAACACTTATGTTCTCCGTCAAATATATGTAAATTAAACCGTATTTTAAATCTTTTCACGGGTCCTGCTGGATGGAACATGTCTCAAGGGCAATCCAAGGAAGGGGAACATTTGATAAGCACATGTAGCTCCAGGCAAAGCTCTGTGCATTCCCACGGAACTGTGATGCCAGTGAGCTCTCTGCCATGCCACACGTTTTTTCCTTCTCCTTCGGGCTCTGAATCAAATTCTTTTGAAGTTAGTGGAGCTCTCCCTGTAGACTTCAAAGGGCTCTGGATTAAGTGCTGTAGAGGAAGTGCAGGTCAGGAAGTACTGATCTGAGCTTCACTTCCTTTTGCTTTCCTTTTCCCTTACTTCCCTTAATTTCAGAAAGGAACATGCTATATTCCATCTGTTCTCAAACGATCCTGGGCTGTGAGCCACCAAAGCCTGGCACTGTGTCAGGGGGCTGTCAGAACAAGAAGGAGCACAGTTGTTTTGTTCTCCTGGCTCCTTTAGTGTCTGGCTCCTTCCACCAGAGCTTCTTTTCCTTTCTCATGATGCAGTGCAGTGGAAGAAAGTATCTGGCATCCTAATAATATTAGTTTTATGGTATTCTAGTTTTCAGCTGTGAGATGAACATCAGATGCTTACATGATCTCCCTACCCACACACAATGTGTGTTTGTGTGCATATAAATTTATTCTATACCATTGCTGTTATAAATTTGTTCAGAACTTAAAAATTCTGTGGGTGGATATCTACGTGAGAGAGACAGAAAGAGATGATGTCCCCATCGTGCCACAGGGATAACACTATTGCTTAGCTCCTTTTGCGTCTAATGGAAGTCCAAAAGACTACCTGGAATCAAGTTGCTGAAAATTGGATCAATTTTGGAGGCAAAATAATCCACTTAAAACTGTTCCTTCTGCATGCATGTTATTTTTTTTTCCAGGCAGATGTCCAGCTCCATGCCCTTTCCTCTCTCTTCCCTTAACTTTCTGCCCTGCATTGGGTCAGGGCAGGCTGCAGTAGCAGTGATTTAGGGATTAGATACTCATGAGGGGGAACTTGAAGCAGGGCCAACCTTTTCCAAAGGACAGTGCAGGAAGCTGGATTTGACTTGTCAAACTAAGCAACAGTGGTTTTCTGGAAACAGCATCTTCCTCTCTTTCCAGCAAAACCTCTCTTTTGCCAGGTATCAATGTCTACATCTGAGACCTTCCTGTAGCACAGAAATTCTGCTTCAGGCAGATTTTTACAGAACAAAATTCTTGTAATCCTCTCCTCTGGTAAAGAAAAATACATTTTGTAATGAAATGTTTTCTGGACATGGCATCTCCAACACCCTTCCCACCTCTTCTCTTTCCCTTCACAGCAGAAGGATGATTCCTAAGTGACACAATAAGATGCGTTTTTTCAAGCAATTTTACAGTTAGTAGTTAAATATGTTTGTGAGATAAGAAGTACTGCTGAAAAGATAACTCCCTCACTCACCTTCCTTAGCCCAGAGGAAGAGCAACAAAAGCCTTATACAATGCAATTAAAGCCTCTCATAGTATACAGTGGCTGTAGTCTGAAGTTTGAAAGAAGATAAGCCAGGGAAATTTCATGTTAATTATGTAAACAACATTGCTTGTGGGTGATCTTCCCTGCCTACTGCTGCTACTGCTGCTACTTCCAAATATTTGAGCCTTGCCCCTGGTCAAGGTGAGGGTGCCCAGGCTGATGAGGAAGAGGGCTGCCGAGGTGCTGAGCTAACAGCTGGATAAACCTGATGAGCTTAAAATTTATACTGAATTTAGGTATGCAAGAAGACCAGGAGGTGCACTCATGTCTGGTGTGTGACCACTGGGGGTTTTATTAACCATGAACTCCCTGAAAGGTTTTATACATTCTGCCGAAGGGGAAAGGAGAGGAAGTGTGAATGTTTAGCTCAGCAGCAAAAGAAGCTGAATTGGAAAAAAACAAACCAACTACCTGTTATTTGGTATTACCTAGGTTTGAAATTTACCCAACAGGTAGCTGATAACTTAGTAACTCTGGGGTGTTACAGGTTTCTGTGATGGCAAACTACTGAGAAAAAATGTGAACTGCCATTTTCCACCCCTGATGTTCTATAGCTCCCTGAAAGAGGAGTTTGCTCATGGATTGCATCTCAAACTAAAGGCTGTGAAAGTTGGAAAATAGATCATCCACCTATGGAACTTGCTGTTCCTGCCCAGAAATCTGGTGGGGATAAAGTAGGGCTTCTGCACTAGCTTTGTGCCAGAGGAGTTTTACTCTGAGGACATATCTAGCAGGAAAATGACATTTTTGTACACCAAATTCTTTGCACTTAAGCTACATTCACTGTGATTCTTCCCTAATATGTCTGCAGAGTGAGACTCTGGAAACACTAGCAAAAAATAATATTTTTACAACAGAGCCATCTTAATGGAAGAAGAACACTGATCAAAAATTGTAGATGCATTTATTTTTTTATCTGGTATGAGCAGAACAAAAATAATATTTTCAAATGTGTTATATTGAAATCTCGTTGGTGGAAAACAACAAAAAGTCAATGATTAATCATGCGATAGTGGGGAAGAAAGCAAGTGTACAGAATCCTTAGGTTTATTTAATTTCATAAGCAGGTTTATATTCTTCTGTGGAACTCTAATTCAGAATTTTTTTGAAGCATCCATATCAAAAGTCACTGACCTGGAATAATAATGTGATTGATAAGATGAAAGAAAGCTCTGAAAGAACTCATATTCTTTCTTTTCAAAAAGATAAGTTTAACATTAGTGTTCTCAATAGAATTACAAGCCAGAAACACAGAGCACATGGGTCTGATTCTGCTGTCTGTTTCTGATGTTCCTACTCATACCTGCTTAGAACAGGTTCCTGTGAGGAACTCCCTTACCATCACATTTTCCTCCTACACTGAGAGTCTGTCTTAAAGTGTGAGTAAAGCTTACAAAGCCATGGGCTATGAGGGGAAGCAAATACAGTGAGTTTATTATTTAATGCAAATTAAATATCCTAATTCAGAGTCTTAGCCACAGTGAGACTGAAGTCTACTCGACTAGAGAGGGATGGTCCTCAGCCCTCACTTGTTATTTAAAGGCCATCCTCTGCCATGCTTCCTTAGTGATTTCAGTGCAGCCTCTCCTGTCATTCCCAGAAGAGAGGGATGATGTAGATGGATCATTCTAGTCCCTGGAGTGCTCAGTCAGACCCTTCAGAAGAAAATCTCTGTGGCATTATGAAAATGATTCCCTTCCCCCATTATGCAGTGACTGAGACAGGTAATGATTCCAGGAGCACATGTCCTTTAGGATCCCTCTCTCTCCTATTAACATGGTTTAGCTGCAGGTGGCACAGCCACCCCTCTGTGAATACCAGCTCCCAGCAGGCATCTGACATCTTACTGGGATTAAATAAGTGTCATTGTTACTAGTTTGGAGGCAGAATTTCACATTTGAACTGTATGCATAACTACATATATTCGATTTGGATTACCTCCTACTGCATCCTTTTAAGCTCTCTCCCAAGAGGTCGTTTAGGACATGGGTGTGATAAAATGATCAAAGAAAAAAAATGCAGCATGCTGAATTTAAACAGCAACTTCTGCAGAAAAGTGTGGAATTTGCCTTATGAGTTACATGCAGAACTACATGTCATTCAGTAAAT